TGGCACTTACCGCCCGCCCGCCCGCGACCCGGCTCGCGCAGGGCGCCGCTCCCACCGCCCCCTCCCCCGCCCCCAACGCTCCCGCGCGGAAGTGGGCGGGCCCAGCCGGGCCCGGAGCATGCGCGGTGGCGCCCGTCGATGCTTGCCCGGAGCACTCCCCCCTCTCCCGGCACTGATTGGCTCCAGCCCCCGGGGCGGGGCCGGAGGGGAAGGCGCGCGCCGCCGCGCCGCCGGTCACGTGATCGGCCCCGGCCGTGGTACTCCCCGCCCTTTTGGGCGGGCCGCGGTGTGGGATCGGGAACACGGGTTCGGTAGTAGCTCCCGGGGCTTTCCCCATGGCAAAGGCGACACCCCCATGCTACCATCGGCCCTCCGTTCACTTTGCACAGAATCACAGAATCAATTAGGTTCGAAAAGACCTCTGAGATACCGAGTCCAACCCATGACCGAACGCCGCCATGACAACCAGGCTGTTGGGAAAATCTTTATTTGTAACAAATAGTGTTATACGGGGAAAAAACCCCAACTTTCTTAAGAAAGGATGTTCTTTGATGTTTGATCTCTGTAATCTTCAAGACTAATGAACAAGAAGGAAGATTCAATCCATGAAAGAGATGGCAGCACACGAGCAATGATGTCAAGGTGGTAGAAAAACAAATTGAAGTTTAGGGCGTGACATGCTTCAGTGATTGCAGACCTGGAGGAGGAGGTTAACATAGTTTGGGAAGAAGGATGTACCACTGAAAACAGACAGGAAGAATGCAGAATTTACAGGCCACAAGGACATTTGGCAGAACTCATGAGATAAGAAAGAAACTTATAAAACCAACTCCATAATTGTGCTGCAGTCAGCTCCAAGTGGGTAAAAGGCAATTCTGGCAGGGGGGATCTGAGATTACTGACCCAGAAAACCCACTGACTGAAAAGAAAGGAGAAACTGAGCATGCAACTAATTAGCATGAGAAGAGAGAGAATCATTAACTGATAGAAGATACAATATGAATACTGGAACAATATCACTTGTAGCCAATGAACACTAATTCCTTTGTTTGCTAAAGTGTATAAATAGTTAAAAATTTTGATTATCGGGGTGTGTGTGTCAGGAGGAACAATTCCCCCACGCATCTCCAGCCAAAGATAAAGTAATGCCTGCTCAGCTTTCTAATACTGAAATTACAGTGTTAGAGAGTTTTATTTTCCCGACATTTTCAGTGACAATTTCTGGTGATCCAGATGGAACCCTGCATCCAATGCTTGACAGATTCACAGGATCGAGAGGACTCCAGTGTGCACCAGAGGTTTTTCAGGGAGATCCTCCAGTCCCCTGACCTGTTGAGTTCAAGGCCCCTGGGATTTATTAAGGTGTTACTGGGGGGGGGTATAATGAGGCTGCTGGAAAGTCTCGCTGGATTAAGGTAAAGGGAACTTGGAAACTAGGTTTTGGGCTAGTTTGCACATAATTATGGGGACATCCAGAGTGCCAGCCCTACGAAAGGTTAAAAAGTGTGAGCAGGTTTTGCACACCCCTCAGGGTTAAAAGTGTGAGTGGCTGTTGCACATCACTCTCAAAAGGAAATGTAATTGTGTTTTATTATATTCTATGAAGGGTTCTGGTCAAACATCAAAAGGGGGGGCTTTGGAGAAATCACGCCTAGGATGTATTTTGAAACAGTGGAGGGAGGTGGAAGGTGCAACAGGAGGCTCTCTCTCCAGAAAAAAGTTAATTGAATACTGTAATAATTGGTGGCCTTTGTACTCTTTGGATGATGGTGAAAAATGGCCAAAGAATAGAACTTTAAGTTACAATACAATGAAAATACCTTGTGAGCACTGATGCATATGGGCTTGGGAACTGGGACACCAACCATACAATTAATACACGAATAGCAGGTGGTTCTTCCAAAACTCATTTATCAAGGAACAAAGCAAGTTGTGGGTACTAGTCTCATGGTGACCTTTTCCATTGCAGGTAATTTGACTACAAGCCAACCACTTTATCCCATAAATGGCAGCCTGAGTGAGCCTTCTTTGAGCTCTCCCTGCTAAGCAGCTGGCTGCATGGCAGTGATCTCCCCCTGTGAGCTGGGACACCTCTCACAGTTACTCCTCGAGGCTGGGAGACCTGAGCCCAACTGCAGGTCCCTGGTAAGTGACTGATATTGCACATAATCTTGTATTAGAGTGCACTAGATTTTGTATTGGTAACTGATTTTGTGTTGGTAATTTTAAATCATTATTATATCCTGTGCAGTAACAGAGTAAACCTTGCCATCAAACTTTGTTAACTAACACTTTTGCAACATCTTTAATAAAACCACTTTTTCTGATACTTCTGCTGGTGGTTCTTCAAGTGGTCTAAGTCGCCCACCTGTGACACCTCCTTCTTTGCACAAGGCTCCAACACACACAAAAGCCACATGCATCCCATGTGCCACATCCTGCACACCCATCCCTTGCTCCATTTCAGGGCCACATCCTGCATCTGTGCTCACTGTCCCCTAATGTAGTCTGTTTCTCTCTTACCAACAAGCCACATGGCAAGGACTTCTGTGGCCCCCCTGTCCCATTGCTACACAATATAGCACTGAAATGAGGTACACTGGATTTCTCAAGGAGTTCTCTGTGTGTCACAAACGTGGATGTAATGGTTGATAAAGGCAAGGATAAATAATTTGCTGATCAAATTAAGTTTATAATAATAAAGATTGCAATGGAATGGTTAATGTTTTGCTTAGGTTGCAAAACGTTAAATTGCAAAATGCTAAACCGCAATGTTGTGTTGCCATGGCGAGTTATATCCTGTTATGCTAAGTCTATGCTTAAGTGCACTTATAAGGAAGAAAAAGCATGAAGCTATATATGAAGGACAAAGGGGGTCGGCTAAAGGGAGCAGAAGGAGGACCTACTACCTTCATCTGGGGATTGCGATACGGCGAGTACTGAGGACTGCTGACTAACCAGACTGTTGGCTGGCCCCCAGCAACAGAATGAGGTCCATGCAGCGAGAACCAATGATGAAGCAGAAAGAGACTAAGGGGGAGGGGATTGCAGCAAGTATAAAAAAAGCGAGCTTTGGTTTATTGAGCTTGCGGACCGCTGGCGGAGCAGGAGACTCCTCGGCCGCCCAGCGCTGTTTTGCTCATTTGCCTTTAATAAATTTTGGTATTTCAAATTTTAAAATTATTTGTGGTCTCTTTGACTATAACAGTGGAGAGGGATGTCTTGTATGATAAGGTAACCCATCTAGTTGATCAAGGGAAGCCAGTTGATGTACTACTTTCAGACTTCAGCAAAACTGTTGCTACTGTCTCTCACAGGTTCCTTCTCCACAAAATGTCCAGCACAGAGCTGGATAAACACATTATGTGGTGGGTGAGCAATGGGTGTGCTCATGGGTGGAGCACAGAAGGTAACAGTGAATGGGGTGACATCAGACTGGTGACCAGTCACTAGTGGGGTTCCACAGGGCTCTATCTTGTGCTCTTCAACATCTTCATAAATGGCTTGCACGCAGGACTGGAAGGGATACTAAGCAAGTTTATGGATGACACAAAACTGGGAGGAGCTGCCTTGAAGGGAGAGAGGCCCTGCAGAGAGACCTTGACAAATCAGAGGGCTGGGCAATCACCAACCACATGACGTTCAACAAGGGAAGTGCTGGATTCTGCATCTGGGATGGGGCAACCTCGGATGTTCATACAGACTGGGGAATGAGGTGCTGGAAAGCAGTGCCACGGAAAAAGAGAATTTGGAGTCCTGGTCGATGGCAAGTTGAATCTGAGTCAGCAGTGCCCTGGCAGCCAGGAGGGCCAACCGTGTCTTGGGGGGCATCAGGCAAAGCATCGCCAGCCAGTCAAGGGAGGGGATTGTCCTGCTCTGCTCTGCACTGGTGCAGCCTCACCTTGAATATTGTGGCAGTTTGGGGCACCACAATACAGGAAAGATATTGAGCTGTTAGAAAGGGTCCAAAGGAGGGCAACGAAGATGGTGAAGGGCCTTGAAGGGAAGCTGTATGAGGAGCAGCTGAGGTCACTTGGTCTGTTCAGCCTGGAGAAGAGGAGACTGAGGAGACACCTCATCACAGTCTACAACTTTCTCATGAGGGGAAGAGGAGAGTCAGGTACTGATCTCTTCTCTGTGGTGACCAGTGACAGGACCTGAGGGAATGGCCTGAAGTTGTGTCAGGGGAGATTTAGGTTGGGTAACAGAAAAAGATTCTTCACCCAGAGGGTGGTTGGGTGCTGGAACAGGCTCCCTAGGGCAGTGGTCACAGCACCAAGCCTGTCAGAGTTCATGATGCATTTGGACGATACTCTCAGGCACAGAATCAGGTCTGACTCTTGGGAATGGGTGCAGGGCCAGGAGTTGGACTCGATGATCCTTGTGGATCCCTTCCAACACAGCATATTCTGTGATTCTGTGAACCCAATAAGAAGCAGGCATTTCTCTCCTGCAGTAGCAGAATTTGCCCAGCTCACTGTTCTGATTAATGTAATCTCTGTTCAAGATTATTTCTCCCACCAGATCCATCAGGCTTAGGTGTATTTTAACAGTTCTAAGCCCCGAGACAGGCAGACTTGCATTTACAATGAGTTTCAGAAAAGCAAGTTTTACTAACTCAGCACTGTAGGAGGGCACAGAAAACACCAACAAACTCTTGCTCTCATCATTTGTGTCTCTGCTGCAGATGGCACAGAGCACAAGTTCTTCCAGTGCACTGTGAACTTTGCTTGTGGATGAGAAGAGGGGAGGGGGAAGACCAGGAGCACAGAAATTATCTAGGAAAAGTTTGATGCCTGTTCTTAGGACAAAGAATTCTAATTCTGTAAACTACAAAAGTGACATTTAAATGTAAATTTAAAAAAACATCAGGTGAAAGGCATTTTAATTGAATGCAATTAGCACCACAGACTTGAGCACACTGTTCACCGTGTAGTAGTCCTGTCCAGCATATAAATCCCAGGGTACAAGGTGTGTTGGCAGTAGGGAAGCTTTGCCTATAAGATTTTTTTCCTGCACTTCTGAACTCCACACTGACAGGAAATTTCTGTCTCTGGCATGCTTCCAGCTTCATAGCCATAATCCCACGTGAGTTCGGTTCCAGCTTTCACGTGTCTAAGAAACAAAACACTGGGTCAATTTGTTTGAAGTGAAACCGTACTGTGTTTACAATTTGTCACCAATGACTCACATGCAAACCCAAAAACTGTATGGGGCAGGGACCATCACACAGGCAGCTTGTTGGGAGAGAAACAAGATATATAAGGAGTCTCTGACACACACATGGTGCTTGGCCTACCAGAGCTATACAGAGTGCAAACACCCACACATAGATGAAAAGAATTTATCAAGCAGTGCAATAGTGTCGGAGTCTAAACAACCTGCTTTTAGACAAAATTCTGGGAAACAAAAATCAAACAAAACAAAACAACAACAACAACAAAAGGAAAAATACATAAGTGAACACATCCTAAATGATAACACAGTTTTGTTATTTTTACTAAGTCCAGTGCATCACTGAAGTTTGAACAGATCTCTAGATATGCTGGCCATCTTTGGCCTGACAAGCTACATTTTAATGCAATTGCACTATCTATATGCACAAAGACTCAGAATTAAACACATGCTCCTCATGAACCAGCTGCTCTGACAGTACATGAAAGAGAAGAAATTTCTAAGGTAGGAAATTCATTGCCGAAAAGGAATGCCAAACTAAATACCTCAGACTAATATGCTGAGGGACAACTCATGGAAAATACAATAAAATATGAGTATTATAAAGAAGAGAGTAATTCTCCAATGTTTCTCATTGGATACAATGTAAGGGACATCCAGTGAATTACCAGGCAGCAGGCTGAGAACAAACAATGAGGACTTTTCAAACAGCACATTTTAACCTGGGACTTGCTGCCTTAAGATATTCTGGAGGTCAGATATATAAAACAAATGAAAAGGTGACTGGGCAAGTTCATGGAAGGTACACAATTAAGCTCAATGATCCAGATGAAGTCCTTAATGTAGAAAAGTTGTAAAAGGGTGATGTCCAGTAAATGTGAGAGCCAGTCAGGGAAACTCTCTTTCAACAACCCTTCTCTTTCCCTACGTGTCTTTGCTGATCACTGTTACCTCTCTCTACTTGCCTCAGTCCCCACTACACATATCTTTACAGAGTACCTGAGCCAGAAAGTCTCTAGCTAAAACAAAATCTTTTTTCTGACACATTTAAACACATTGTCTTCACAATTTTGGGAAGCCTCCCAGTGCAATCCACAGCATCTGTGTTAGTTTGGACCAGGGTTGCAAGACTCCAGAGAAGATCAATGTTCCCAGGAACTAGTTTGTCTGCGACAAATTCTCTCCTTTTTTAAGTTCTTGCCTAGTATCACTGCTGGTACGTGCATCAGCCAGATTCATTCAGACAATTAATCCTTCCACCCTGGGTTTAGCTGCCATCTTCTTATGTCTTACTGGAACCAGCTCTCTGTACCACCCTTTCTATCAGCCACTAAGGAAATACCTGCATCTTTTGCTTTCACAGCAAATTTTCACCCTTTAAGTATCCTAATGCCACCTCCCTGGGACATGTTGGGCTACACAAAGTCCTGCTTCTCTTGATAGCTGTGAGAAGGCCTGAAGCTTGCTTGTTTGGCCCACAAAGTATCTCAACCTTAATATTCTGTGGGGTTTCATCCTGCCCTATGGGACCAAGATATGCAGGCCATTCTTTGAGACAGAACAGCGGGATGAGTGAATCTTGGCTTTTAAAATAACCATGCCGAGTTAAACCTATTTGTCCACTGAAGAAGATTATCACTGAAATGGACACATCAAAATTAAGCTTCCCCACTTCACATTTCAATGCAAAACTGAAGAAAAACTCATCAGTGATAATCAAGAAACTGTATTTCTTCTGGTTTTAGTGCACAATAAGAACTCACCAATAAGAAGGTAATTTTGTGCTTTCATGATCTAAGCATCTCCCCCACCCCTCAGCATAATTATGTCCTAATAACTAAATACTGATTTTTTTCCCCTAGTGTCTTGAATGAACAACATTTAACTTCCAGAAATTCACCTGTTTGTGAAGAATGCCACCCATGGAAAACTTCTGTTGTGAGTCTCTACAAACACGCTTTGTGCAAAGAGATTTGGGCAGCAGCTGTGCTGTAAAACAGGAAATCTGTATTAGAAACAGTGAAACACCACATCATTGGCTGAAAAACCTATTTTGTGTCAGATATTTGTCACTAGAAAAGGTAGTTTCTTCCTTCCCATCTCCAGCCCACACAGAATGTCTATTACTCAATGCCACTGCCACTTATTTTTGCAATAATTATGTCTCTTTAAAGTATCACTTTTTGCCTATGAAAACCAAGTTCTTTTATCAAGTTGTTCTCCGGAAATTTATGGAGAAAATTCATCTTAGATTCAGAATGCACCACAAATAATCAGTATGTGGCAGATGTATCTTCCTGTCAGCCAGGGGAGCAGTGCAAGGGATCAAGCAATGGAGTAAATGATCGTGTGTTGGCAAAGTGCCAGATGTGAAAAGTGATTCAGGTGCTCATAGGAACATGTGTACACTCATGGCTGCAGAAGAAAGGTTTCTGCAAGATGCACTACTAATCTTAACACCATATGACCTCTGCAAGGAAGAACAGCTTAAACATATTGCAAGGATTTTGCTGTAAGACACATATTCTGCCAGTGAAGAGAAATAAGTTATCTGCAGAGCATGTGCAGAAATGTCTGTTCATCTTAGCTGGAGGTACTTGGTAATTCATTACTATTTATTTCTTGGCAAGTCAAAACTGAGAGACTTATTTAGTAGACACATACACAGTAGGACAGACTACTTTCTGAACCTATGATTGAACAGTAGGGAAGTGTTGTAAAATATCAAAACACTTGTCCTAAACCAGCACTAACTAGAATTTACAATGGCTGGGAGAAGGCATGTGGATCAACAAAACGTGCCATTTGCTCTCTGGACCTCCCAGAAGGCCATCAGGATAAAGACATCACTCATTACTGGGAAATATGTCACTAAGGAACCCAGTGGTGCCAACACTACAGCTGGTATGTGGCATGCATCAGCTTGTGAAGGCACTAACAGTGACCCAGCCTACTGTCCTACCACTTGTGATGGCAGGGAGGACCATATGTGCCTTCCTTTCATGCACCTACCTCATATGTGGTTTATGTGCAAAAGCTTTCTAGCTTAAGCTTAAATAAATAAATGATGTATTTGCAAAGACAATGAAGGGAACGCATGCAACTTTTTACTTACATTTAGAAAACGACCCACATTTCCTTCTTTTGTGGCATCCAGTACATAAATATTTTCTTCACTAGCATTCTTCGGAAGCATCCCATCTCCATCAGCCTCCTCACAAAATGCATCTTGACTTGACTGTCTGCTATTTTCCTCTTTGCAGTCAGCTTTTAGGGGTATATTATTGGATGGCCTCGCAACACATGTGTCATCCAGCACACCTGACTTGCCACAATCAACACCCTGCAGTGACAGACTCTTTCTTTTGCATCTCGCACTGTCCACACCAACAGACTCAGTCTGCCCAATTTCCATCGGATGGTCTTCCTTCTGCTCCTGGGTGGATTCTGTCAATGGACATGTAATTATTTTTCAACATCAGTTTAAGGCCAAAGCCTTTCCCTTGTTTGGCCCTGAACTCTTACCCACCCACTCTTAAAAATGTCCTCCAAAATCTAACCATCCTGCTATTTACAAGTCTATAACACAATCACCCTTTTCCATGCCTCTCACCAATCCTCCCACAAATGACTGTTTCCCGCTGTAGTGTCTAAAGCACTTGCTCAAGGCACCTGAGAGTGACCAAGTCTCTCACTCTTCCCAAATCCCACTCCAGACCGATTTCTTCCACACAGCATTTTTTCATCATTCTCCACCTTAATTCCCAAGAGAATTACAAACTATAATTTAGACAGAAACAAGATGCAAGTGCAAATAGCATCAGTTTCACCCTGCCTCTCCAGCTTGAGGTCCCCCCACCCCTGGATTATATCCTGTTCAATTTTTGTTGACCAGAATATGTACTGGGTGTGACACAACAAGATCTGCAAGACTGACTTTCCCACAATTGCATTGTATTTAAAAGCTGCTGTCAGGAGAGTTCAACATGTCCCCAGATCAACTTTGCAGGCAAAAGACTGTCCTGTACCCAGTACAGTAGTGTACTGTGTTATGCAAGACAGCAATAATTTCTGTACTACTGAGCTCTCTTAAAACAGCTTCCACATCATGCAGACATTGTTCTACTCCAAGAACAGGCCTGCCCACACTGTCTCCCTTAAAGTCTACCACCTGATGGGACACAATCATACTAAGAATGCGGTATGTATACCTCCGAAAACCTACTTTCTTTTCCTTTCTTTGTTCCACTGTTTACTTTTGTTTTGCTTGGCTGATGAATCTGAGAACTATTATCTTCATCTGAGCTGGCACTGTGCACCTGTGTGTCAAATGAAAAGGCTGTGATGTATTGTTGCTGTGTGCAACTCGGAGTCAACACAGTACAGCAAGTGGCCTCTAGAACTCTAGGGCTGCAGGTTCAAACCTTCTGTAATGCATGGCTGTGGTCAAGTTTGAAAAGTTAATACATTCACTGCAATGCAATATTTATCTTCATTTCAAACGATCCTTCAAAATAACCTGGAAGGAGTTCCCCATGCAACAAAACATTTAAGTAAGTGTCTAAGTCCCAACAATTTCACCAGAATTCTAAGTTGCTGAACCAAAGCCCAAACATGCTTTTTACAGAGTTTCAATGAAATGAACAGATGTGGCAGGATTTCTCCTCTCCTGCCACAAAATGGCAACCACTTTGGCTCCAGAATGGAGCCAAATGTTAGCATGAAAATCCCATGTGCATTTTGTAAGTGCAATGAATCCAATAAAACCTACAGAGTAAGTTTACCCCAGTTTTCCTCCTTTACACACATTTGCAGGCAACACTTCACACTCGGATCAGATCAAATTCTCCCAACTCTGCCAGTGCACAAAAAAATCGCGTACAAATCCTGAGATTTTCCTCTCTCCCTGCTATGCCATTCTTTTGGGAGGCATCACAAAAATATTTCACTCTCACACCCTAACCCTGTAGTTAGTGACAACAGGAGGTGGAGGGGGAGAATAAATTCCTAAGATTCTCAAGGCTGGAGTGTAAGTGAAGGGTGGAGAAGGGAAGGCTGTGGGAGTAGTTAGTGCTGGTCTGGAGGAACATGTTGAAGGACTGATAATGGAGAAGGGATGGGGTGCAGCTTCCAGCATGGCAGCTTAGCTCACAGTGTGACACAATCTCCTGAAGAAAGGTCATTAGAACTATCTAAGTGTACAAGTTGAAAAGGTCAGAATTAACATAAATATTCAGCACAGAAAAATGAATCTATTAAAGCCTATTATTATTATTACCATTTTTAGCTGGCGATTGTGAAAAAAACCTGTTCTTCCAGGCCTTGTGGTTGCAATACTCGAGTTCTCTGGATGAACCCTGTACAGAAAGGTCAAAAGGAAATTATAAAAGACAGACTCACAAGTAACTCTCGCAACACACATTTCTCAGCCTCTAGTTCTAGTCTCTTCTCTACAAGAGCTGACAGCAGAGCCTGCAGTCTGGCCTCACCCCATGTTCTGTGATTATTTTGCCTTTAAGAATTGAGGACCTAGGCTAAGTTCTCTGTAGTATTTGTAAAAAAACAGTTGTTCATACCTTTTGAGGGATCAGCAGCTGCTTTTACATTGTTTCCCAACTGTCCAGCTGAGAACCAAACTGTCTGCTGTTTTACTATTATTACATCAGATCACCTCAAAACAGAGCACCTACAGACAGAGTTTTGCCTTTTTCCTGCTACTACTTTCAACAGTTTTAATAGTGCAGCTTTCAAACAGGAGAGCAAAGATGTTGTGGGTACAAGGGACAGCAGAGGGGGAGAGATGCAATATATGGCAGGTTTAGAAAATACTTTCTCTCAAAAGGACCTCAGTCCTTCATGTTAGGAGTTGAGGAAGATGGGAAGTAGTATTTGGTATATACATTTAAATCATCTAAAGTCACATTCATTTGGATTACATTCAGACTGCAGTAGAAGACACCAGTTTCAAAACTAATATTAATATCTGTAAAATGTCTAGCAATAAATAACAGCCCTTATTCAAGAAAATTTCCAATGTAAAAAAAATGTGTTTTCCTATCACAAAAAAGAAAATCCTGGTACTTCTTTGGGCTACTGATAATTGCAAGAAATGCTGCTCTTTAAGGCTTTCTTAAGATTTAAAGTCCTTTGTAAATTCAAAATGTGCAGAGGCCACAAGAAAATGTGACATTATTACATGGTTACATTGTTTATTCTTTTAAAGGCAATCTGTTTGGGTGAATGACACGTCAAGCCTAGCACACTGATGTCCTCTTAAATGTTCCTCAGTCCAGCTGGACTGACTGTCATTTCTTAAGAGGCAGAATAACAATGTCTTTTTGTCTGTCATTTTTTTTATACAGCCCAGGTGTAAAACCATTTTTTTAATCTCAGGAAAGGAAATTAATGAGATTTAAGGCAGCAGTGTAGTACAGGCAACTTTGAAACTCTGCTTGCTTACAGTTTTTAGTAATGGCACTTAGCAGAAGTAAAATCTAGCTGATTACTTTTAATTAGGTAATTAGACAATAATGAATTCACTAGGCCTCCAAGATGCTGAAATGCAAGTGAGAAAATAATAGCAGATATTTTTAAAAGTTTCCATTTGCAATTTCATGGTACTTCTCAAAGTTCCACAATAATCTTCTACTATGACAAGAGCAAGAATCTGCAATCATTTGTACACAGAAAATGTTTACAAACTAGTGTAGCAGAGCAACAAAGAAGCTCCCAACTTCCTTCTGAAAAGACTTGAGCATGCTATTGACACAGCCACGTGGTTATTTTGCAGTAATTTTATTTTAGGAATGCTGATAGGCTATGAGACCCTGAGTATACAGTGAAAACATAATTCACTGCAAAGGTGAGGTGTTGTCAGACTCCTAGCAGGAAAGGTTATGATAGAAATAAGAAAAGGTTTAGAGACTGGTAGCAAACGACAGGACAGTTAGTGGCTAATATGTCATTAAACCCTTCAGCATCATCAAGTATCTTTAAATAATTTATCTCAAGTATCTTCTATTAATTGTTTCAAAGTTGCATCATGATTAATGCCCTGAACAGATCAAGTACACTCAAGAGATAAACTGGCTTTCTAGAAAATGCCAAGTGGTACACATAGTAAGTAAAATTCACATAGAGGAAAACTCTGTTCCACTAGAAGAAATAATTGGGAAATAACAAAGAAGTTCAGAAAGAAAAAACCCACCCTCATTTGAGAACATTCAGTTCTACTCTAAGTTATAAAACAGAATTCCTAGAATAGCAGAATATTGATTTTGTTATGCTTAAGTTTATTTTGATTAACTTACAGGGTTGATTTATTTTCACTATCCACAGTTTGAGACAAAGATTCCTTATTCTCAAGAATGTCATGTTTACCAGTCTGCTCTAGTTCAATGACTGAATTTGAACAATCAGTGTCAAGTTTTCTTTTTTTGGAAAAAACCCCATGGTTTCTGTCATTCACAGCACTCTTTTCTTTCAGCTCTTGACCAGCATCTCCCAATACTTCAGCTCTGCTCATTAATCTGCCTGAAAGCAAAAGAAAAGTTTGGTTTGCTTTTTGGGTTTTTTTTATGTTTGTTTTCTTACTTTCACACTATCATAGGTCAAACTTACACTAAAAAAATACAAGAACATTACTTGGGAAAGCAAAATATGAATGCGGTCTATGATTCTATGATGTCAATAGAGGCTGACATACAAACTGAATTAGACATACAGCCCTCGGTACAGCATGCACAGACCTATGAGGTAAAAAAAAAATCAACAGTCTGAGATAGACTTTGCTCCAGAATGTTTTGACTGTTTGTCACCTTTGCATTGCAGAGTTCTTCAAGGTTCTTCTGTCCATTTGATCATGTTGCAAGTTAAGATTATATTGACACACTTCTCCTCCAACCCCATATTTTTGTGTTCTCAAAGAAAATCCAGGGCAGAGGCCACAAGAGAGGGAAAATTATGCTACACATCTTCCACAGGTCACCTTCTGTTACCTGAGTAGGTACAAACAAATGTCCCCTTGTCGATATCATCCAGGCAGCGGACACCCCAGCCTTTCTTTGCAGTGTTGAACACTTGCAACCTGACTTGAATGCCGTGCTGTACAACTCTGTTCTGACACATCAACTTGTCACACCTGCATAACACACTGCACTCGTAAATCCTGTCAAGAGGAAGAAAAACAAAACACAATATAAAAGGATGCACTACTAAAAAAAAGTTTCTATTATTAATTTCCCTTCTAAGCATCAATAAGGCAGTGGACTGAAAAGATGAAGACTGACTAAAACTGGTTGTGCAGCAGTGCTCTGGAAATCGTGACTTTCTTGATTGCTGATTCATCAATTTTAAGAGTCTGTCAGCTAGATTTTGGTATCAGCAGACAAGAAAAATAAATGCTAAATTTTTGTTTTATAGGAGTAAATCTCACAGAAGCAGAAATCCCTATGAAGCACCTCATTCTATGCTGGAGCAGATTTTAGCAAAAACAGCCTGAACCTCAATGTAGCTGTCATGAGTTTAAAGATTTAACAAAGTATATCTAAAAGAACTCACAATTGTGATTTATTTTTTGGATTTTTTTCTGGGTTCCCTGACAGCTTTAATTCTGCACGTTAACCATAAACTAACACCACACAGCAAGAGAGAACTGAAAGGGCTCCTTAAGCCTGTGGGTTCAAGCCCTTGGCTACTGCAGAAAGCTGCTTTGCACAATTCCTCTCCTAAACACTTGAAGTAACTGGCACCTTCTTCAGGCCACATAGTAATCCACAGGAGCTGAATAATAGAAAGGGCAAAGACTTGAAGCATTGGATGGCTTTGGAGACTCTTGGAAGAGTCCCATATAACCAAGTCTGGCAACAGCAGCTGGTCAATGCTTCTTTAGGACTCTGGTCACTCTTTACACTTTTCTTAGACCTTAATCTAAGCTGTGAAAATTGTAGGATCTGCAGTAGAAGAGTTTTTGGGTTTTTTCCTCCTATTACTCAAGTCACATTAATTATTTTTTATCATCCTGATCTGTCAGTAAAATTGTGACAAAAATAGAAGGTTTCAGTTAGCCAAAAACTCCAGTTATCTTAATCCTGTAGCACTTACACTACAGGAGTAAAATAAGAGCATACAAATAAAATAGCAGTTAATAGTTCAGTCTTTCTTACCCACTAGGAACAGGTCCCTCCAGTCTTTTGTAACGGTATCCACGGCATCTTTTAATACCTGAAGATAGAGAAGTTTTACTACAGCCTCTTGCAGTTAGCTGTAGGCATGCACATTTTGACCTAAAAGTAAGAATAAAACATCTCAGAATGTATTTGGAGCAGCGCAAATCAATCATAAATCTAGGTAAGTTGAAATGTACTTAACTATACATACACACACACACACACACACACTTGTATATATACATCTATATTCCCCTTCTCCACTTCTTTTATTCCACAAGGCTGTTTCAGGCACCCTACTTTCTCTCTTTGTCTCTTGACTGGTTATGTGTGCTTTACAATAAACATGTTTGCCCCACCCCAACCTCATTCTTTCACCAAGCTCCTTAAATGGCACATGCAAACAGCTGAAGTACAACAGAAATTTATTATAAACAGGACACTATCAAATGGATCGAATGAATGAAAATCACCTCTTCTGGCACAGCATTCCAGCCTGTTAACCGCTACTTTGTTACTTTCCTCCCACCTTAGCCCTCAGGAAGTGAAGAATTTCACACTGTGGAGAACTCAAGCAACAGCGCTTGTCTTCACCATCGTATGGCACAACAACTGCAAAGAATCACAGCGATTGTGCAAATCCTGAATCCTAAAACTGCACATCAAAAGCATCTCAACTCTTGTGGGACTGCACTGCTCAGCTGAAACTACATCACTTTAATTACTGAAGCTTCTTTATACCAGGCTGTGATTTCAAGGTCTTGTTGGGTCATGGGCAACTATGCTGCACACCAGCACATGCAACTGCCCCAGCTATCAAAAATACAAAATGGATCCAATACCAGGTAACACCTACAGATAGAGATCAGACAAACACCCTTCAAGAAAGCAGACAAAATTATCACCAAACTCTCATACAATAACTGTGGCAGGTTCCCACAGAGTGTCTGTAGTCCAGAGTTACTGAGATTTAGAAAAAGCAATGAACAACTGCTCAGACCCCAAATGTATTTTGTGACCACAGGCTTTCATAGTTTCTGTTTGGACAAGGGGAAGGAAAAGATGTAGAGGTTGGGAGCAGGGTTGTTTCTTCCTCTGCCCTCAGTAACCTTCTAAGTTCCAAACGATCTGATCCCTTCAGGCTGTCCCATCCCACCTCTAGGATACCACAGTAGGTGCTGCAGCAAATATCGTCATGTGGGATCCTTCCCTGCCTGCAAGGAAAAAATTCTTCCTCTGCTGGCACAAGAGTCTCTTTCCTACACCTTTTCCAAAGCCAACAGCCCTGCTTGTCAGCTCCCCCTGGAGGAGAAGCACTGCCAATTTGTGAAGAAAGGGAAAGGAACAAAATAATCCACCTGTTGAACACTTCCTTCACTACAACAGAGGGTGGACCAGTAGGAGCACCCAAGTTCTGGTGAAGAGAAAGACACAGTGGTGTTAGTCAGTACCGAACATGGCACAAGACAACTCCCACAGATATTCCAGCAGCATTGGTCCTGTTTGACACTGTTTGGTACTGTGCACCTTCACACACCACCACACTGCTGTTGTGGCATCGTGTCACTGGACTAAGATTAGATTTTTCTACCTACCTATCAATGCAGCCATCTGTGCAGTCACATGAATCCACAAACAGGCTGGAGAAGTTGTTGAGATAATATCCACGTGGCCATGACGACTTCCGATATTTGAAATAAGGTAACCTTGCGCGGTCAAGATTGTTACAGAAGGAGATGGGCACAGACTCGGCTCCGTTGCTAATATCAAAGTCAAACACAAGGGGTTCGGGATTCATGGTGTTCCTGCCCAACAGTACATATGTGTTGAAGGAAAAGTGATCAACAAATAAGAAATTGCACTTTGTTTCAAACAAATAGTTTCGCACGTCTCGAAAGCTTCTCAGACTCCGACCGCAAGGAGCTTTGTAATTCACATCCAGTGATTTCGAAAGGCAGTCTGCTTTTGCATGCCGTCTTTGAAAGTGAAACAGGATTGGCATCTTCAGAGGGTTTTCACCCTTGTAGGAGCCCGTTGCTCTCTTGGCAAGACATGCACTAGAGCACTTGTGGTTCTGATACTGTGGGTTTAAAGGTAAGTGTTGAATTTCGCTAGATGCTTTTTTAGTCCCTGACCATGTTCTTTCCATCTCCTCTTTCCTGTTACTTGGAGTAGAAGAGAAAAAAAAAAAGAAAAAAGAGCAGCATCTTAGACAACCAGCGAAGCATTCAGCTTTTTAGTGGTTCAATATTTTTAGCACAGTAAAGAAACAGCCCATTCCTGGAAGGCCCAGGGTTTCACTGAAACACTGTTTCACACGGTATTACTGTCCTAACTTCATATGAAGATATATTCAGTTGCATTTAAAAAAAAAGAAAAAGAAAAAAAAAGCAACAGCTTCTTAGCTTCTTCCCAGAAAGAACTTACATGCTAAAACACAGAAAGGACGTAATCAATCAATACCTGAGGCTAAATACAGAGGGACTAAGTCACGTGCCTGACAATATGCAAAGTACAGAAAGCCTGAGAACTGCTGCTTAAGTCCTAACCCTGATAATCCTGGTAATACTCATGAATCTTCATTCACAACCTAATGCCCTATTCTGCAGTGTTCTCATGGGGTAAATTAGACAAGTCTACTTAAAACCTCACATTTTCCATGTAAGTCAAGTTAAAAACATTTTCACTTTGAAAGCTGGCAGAATTCAAAACTGGGTTTAAAACACTGACTTTAGAAATACAAACTGAGAACTCTCTCAAATGCAGTAAAGAACATGTCAGATAAGGAACTGAAATAAAGACACTGACCTGTCAAAACCTTCTACAGCATTTGCAGTGTTGTCATCTGCAAAAACATGCTGCAGTTTGGGTTTGGTTTCCTGTACTCCATCTCCATCAAACTCATCAGTTACTGAAAAAAATGAATGCAAGCAAAAATTTCATCAACTCACATTTCAATCTATAACTGAATTTAGTTACTAAAGAGAAAATTGACAAAATACATTAAAAATAATGCATTTCTATGAAGCACAGCTAACAAAGAGCATGTCAGTAAGTGCCCCACTGAAAAATCTTCCACAGTTTTCAAAGTGACCAGAAACAACACGCACATGAAACACATTTATAGATTTCCCTTCGTTATTTGAGATAAAAGAATGCCAAGGTATTTCAGCTAGTGGAGCCATGCACAGAATAACTCTGCTTGCAGACAGCTCAGGTTCATCAGGGCTTACTAGTTCAAACTGGTTCCCTTGGCACAAGTATTATCCACACACACACAAACCACAAAAATACAAATCCAGGTGAAAGTTCACAGTCCAGTACCCGAGGAAATTAATAATTATATTTTCCCCACTGTAATGCTAATGGCCTTCTCAGATCTGTTTTATTGATTTCAAAGGAAGGAATTAAACTTCTAGTGAGTAAAGTAAAACAGGAAGAAAATGAATCCACATACCAAACAAATACAATTGGGATGCACATACCGTTTGTCAAAGTTAAGAGATCACTCAGATTAGCTTCATTCACCAGTGCCCAAGCCTGCCAGCATTCTGTGCAAAAAAACCCAAACCAAAGCAGATACTTAGTGTAAGTGAAGTAATGATAGTAGGGAAAACAAGGTCTAAATCCACCAGAGATACCTGTTTCCTCATTAGGCTAATCTAGAGTACTGCAAGACTGATACTATTAGAAACCTTTTGCACCACAGACCTTAACAGACACATCTAGGAACTGCAATAAAATTACAGCTCACAGTAGTAGTTGTAAATTAACAGTGAATATCCCTTGGCTTTTGGAAAGCCGTGGGAATACTTCCAAACACACACAAACTGGTGGCCTACAGTAGCAGTAATATACAAAAAGACAACTTAGTGTGAGTTTCTCTCTTTACTCTGTCATCAGTCTAGTTATCTTCAAGCTAAGAAGAGCCACGCTTTGTCTGAAAAAGTATATGGGCAAAACAAGAAAATGACAAAATGCACCTGAGATCGTCTTTTTTTAAAATGAAGAGACTTTCTAAAAATGCTTAAAACCACTAACTACTAAGTAATTTAAATTCAGAGATATCTGAATCATGTCAGATATCTCAAAGACCTACACAAAGCAGGCCACAGCTCCTCTGCAGTCCAGCTTAACAGCTACAAGGATTTCAAACCTTGGTTTGTGGCAGTTCCATTCTTGATCTTTTCCTTTAGCAACAGCAGCACATTTTGCACCTGCTCAAATATGACGTCCACTCTTCTACTTCCCAATTGTGTCCAAAACGTTTTCAAATCACCTGAAATGCAAATTCCTGTTTACAAGTCTGTACAGCTCCTGAGAAGTCTAGAAATACATGTAACTTCTAGTGGACTATTCAAAGGCTCCCGCTCATTTCATTTGGAGGCACTTCTCAAAAACCAGTCAGGACAGCAGAACAGCTTAAACCTTCAGAAGTCTATTCCTAAAGCTAATCAAGAAAGCGAAACAGAAGTCAAGTGATGAACTGGAGTGGATTCTGATGGTCCATGATGCTCCTTCAAGCAACCTTTCAAGCATGTCACAAAGGGTGCTGTGGAAGCCTTTCTTCAAATACCAGCAAATGAGTCCCACTATAAACTAATCACCACTGAAACTCACAGGAGTGGCAAAGGAGAGTATTTTCAACTCAGTGAACTGCATATATTATTCAACAAAAGACATTCAGAATTTTTTTTTTTTATTGCTGTAACCTCTCTTAGCTACACAGGCTGACTATCCTGTCCCATCATTAGTTTTGGTATGTTTTCTAGAGAAAAAAAATATTCACAATATTTTCAGATAAAAGTAGTTTGGTAAATTTTGTTCACCAAGTGATATCAGTTGAAATAATTAATATACCTCACATGTCATGCCTCCTTCCTCCACTAGAAATAGTTATAAAGAACATTTTGTTTAAAGAAATTCAAGCTACTGGTTCAGAACATACCTTCTCTTCCAAAGGTATGTACTTTTGAGGTACTAAGCCCATTCATGAAAGCTTTTGTTAAAACATGAGCAGTACACCTTTCTCAAGGAAAAGGAAATGAGGTTCAGTGTGTCAACAGATGATGCCTGAAAAAAGAACAAGCTCTTTCTCGTGGCTAATGTTCCTCTTCCTCAATGACCAAGCACAAAAGAATAAGCAAATCCTACTCCATTTCTAGAGGTGGAGTCCACTGTCACACTAGGTTTACATTCCACTTTCAGACAGCAAATCTCAGTCGGCAAATGTGCTGGGGTGACACCTCCCCAGCAGTCAAGAAATACTGCATTCTTGTAAGTCTTGTAAAAAAGTATTTCCTTCATTTTTGACTTACTAGAGAATGACTTCTGTTGCCCAAGGCACCAGAAGCAAAGACATTCTACTGCAGTACAGAGTGTATGGTTACTCTCAAAAGAATCATGACAGCAGTGAAGGGAGTAACAATCTTTTGTCACCACAACCCCAGCTGCTTATGACACCAGCAACTAAAAGTGTAATATTTAATATAAACAGGCAATGTTGAAAGTACTTCATCTTGTGAAAGAACTGATTTGGCACTAACTCTCAACATAATTTAATGATCTCTTATATTCACAGAATTTTTAAAAAAAAATGTGAAAAGGTTAAAGTCCCATTACAAAAAAAGCCACAACAATTTTTGGAAGCCTACATTACTGGTCCAAGAGACAATGCCTGCCCTGTGCCATTCTCATCCTTTCACTGTGCATGACAGTATCACAAATTTAAAATACTGAGAAGTAAGTATATTTTATATTTGTGTTTCAAAATACACATTCAGGAATAGATCAAAACTGCTGTCCTCATTCATTACTGGTTTTCAAACACTTCAATACATTTACTAAATTCGGATGATTTTTTGGATTGGTGGATGTATTACTTCAGAGGATGGGTGACAAAACACAGTTTTTTGTTTCTGGGGCCTCAGCTATAATCATGCATAGGCCAAAGAGAAATAAAACATATACTACTATGTGTAGTGCTCACTCACCTTAGAAATGCTTCCTCAGTTCTCATGCTGGAGTGTCCTGAAACTCTAGCAGCAAAAACTTTGTTTTGCACAGAGAAGCAAAGAACGCATATGAAATTCACAGTACAATTTTCATTTCAAAAATGACAGATGTCCACATCACTAATCTCTCCAATGCTGCTACTGTCAACCCCAGACAGCAGGATAGGGAATGAACAGACATAGGAAGCATTTACCTGGTCAGCTTTCAGAATCATCTCACCAGCTGATGACTCAAGTTGTGGAATGGCATCTGGTGGAACAATAGTTCTAAAACTGGCTGGAGGGATTTTCTTTTCCCTCTATAGAATCCTTGTGGCCACATATCACTTTTTTTTTCCAGCATTGTGCAGGGCAATGATGCTAGAGCAAGAAACAAGCAGCCAAGGTCAGGGCTGCTTATTCCAGCCACTAGAAAAACAACTCATGTGCGTGTTTCCTGCAGTGCTGCTGACCAACATCTTAAACCATAAAAGGCAAAGCTATTGTCTTTCAGTTATCATTTTCACATCAGAAGCGGTGCCAAATATACACTACCTTCCCCTTCCTCTCCATAAATCCAAATTATACTACCTTTAATGCTCTCCTCCCTGGAACTGGTAAGGTTCTCCTCTTCAAAGAAGTCGGGCAGTGCTACAAGTGGTGCAGAACATACAAGTAAGAGATTGTTTTAGCAACCAAAATGGTTGTAGCTAATCAGCTTTTCAAAATTTATGCAAGTAAATACTACAGTGGGTATCAGCAGGAGCACTGCGTGGTGCTATGGTGAAACAGCATTGTGGTAAAACAGTCATCCTTTCAAATATCATCCCATGCCTTGTCAAGACACAGTTGAGGAAAACACAATTGAAACAAGCTGCATAAGGAAGCTTTTTTACATAGTCATTTCTTACTACCCCTCAGTCATGAAGCTGTCACAGATGGCCCATACATTCCAGCACATTCAGGTGAGCCTCCACAATCCCCACTGTCTATTAGCTCACAGTTCTTTTTTTCTTTTTAAATTTGTGCTGTCAGTGCTACAACTAAACTAATTTATCTAGGGGGAAAAAAAAAAGGAAGGCTTCTTTTGGGTAAATATATTACTGAATCTGTTTCTTGGCAGATGCAAGATGAAGCAAGGTATCTACACTGTAACAACAGTAAGGAGAAGCAAGGCAGCACTCTTCAACCACATTGAAGATTCCAAATTTCCCTCATCATGAACTACAGAATCAATTAGGTTGGAAAAGACCTCTGAGATCATCGAGTCCAACCTGTGACCGAACACCACCGTGTTAACCAGAACATGGCACTGAGTGTGATGCCCAGTCTTTCCTTAAACACCTCCAGGGATGGTGACTCCAACATCTCCCTGGGCAGCCCATTCCATTCTATTTATGTTGGCTACTTAATCTTTTCTATGCTAAAATTGAAAAAACACAACCATTTTCATTAACTCTGGAACAGATACTTCCTTTGGCTGAATGGGAAAATACCTTAAGGGAAGACTGTTGGCTTCTAGAACTGTTTCTCACAAGACCAATGACTGCTCGAAACATGCACCTATTTATTTTTAAGGCTTACTTCTTTTCTCTTCCATCCTCCGGGGAGGCCGCTCGGAGCGCTGTCACTCGCGCCGGGGCAGTGCCAAGCCCAGCTCAAGTCGGGGCGCGCCGCGTGGGCCTCGCCGCGCTCCGGCACGGCCGCGGGCAAGGGCCGAGATGCCTGTCGGACAGGGAGCTGGCATGGGGTGAGCCTGCGGTCAGGGTCCGGGGCCCGGGTCACTCCCGCAGCCCTCAGGACCTCGCCGCGGTCCTCCCGCTCCTCCTCCCCCTCCTCCTCCTCCTCCTCCTCCCGCACCTGCGCCGCCGCCCGCCAGGGGGCGCAACCCCGCCCTGGCGCGCGAGCCAGCGGATCGGGGCAGGCCCCCGCGCGCGGGGATAAAACCTGCGCGCACCGCCGCTGTCTCTGCTACTACTGGCTGCGGCGGCGGGAGGGGCGGCGGCGATGGCCAATGAGAGGAGGGGGCGGGGCCGCGCACCCGCGCAGAAGCGGCGGAGGCGGGGGGGCAGAGCGAGGGACTGGAGGTGCGTCCGCCATCTTGGAGGGGGCGGGTCGAGGGGGGGGCGGGTCGTCCCTGGGGCGCTGTGGGGGCGTCGTCGCCGTGTCGGGGCAGGGGGGGTGAAGGCGGGGTGGGCTGGGGGAGCGTGCTTGTGTGATCCCGCAAAGGGTCGAGGTGCGGCGTCTTCATAAATGTGTCATAAATGAAAACGTATGATAACGAGTGAGCGAGTTGCGTAACTTAACTGCTGGCCGCTGCCTTTCGCCCTAGCTGGCTGTGGCGCTGCCCTATGAAGTGCTAAATTGTCGCTGCCCTTTTCGATTCAAAGTGTGAAAATAAAGGTTTGTGTCGCCCTTTAAAATTTTAAGCAGCACTGCCTTTGCAAGTGTTGGTATTGTGGCTATGTAAAGGGTTTTTCAGAGGGGCTAAAAAATAACCCGCTCTTAAAAGGCAGTGAGGGTGGTTTGTCAACCCTTTTTTGTCGCTTCTTTTTTTTTGCCACCACTTTAAACTGTAGATATGAACACAATACGTTCAAATAATTGTTAAAGGATCTCTAATCTCGCGGGTGTTACTAAAATATTGGGGAGAGAGCAAGATAGAAATTTAATTTTTCTTTCGGGAGAATGCTGTATTTACATGACTTGAAGCTCTGGTCTGACCCAGGATCCTCCAGAAGATTTTGATGTCCAGCATCTGCTTTGGACTTCTATAAAACCTTTTAAATGTTTACACAGGCATGCCTACATCCGTGCCTGTGTCTGAAGTTCAGCCCATGAGAACTGCCCAGCTCCACAGAAAGGAATGGGACAACTCACAATAACATTGCTGGGAACAGGGTGGCTCAGTGTCACTGATGTGCTGACAAATCTCTCAATAAAAATAGTAGTTTACATCTTAAAAAAGAGATTTCTCCCTTGTAATTATTTATTTTAAAATTAAGCACAAGCTTTTCTCACTCTTGGAATACTCTGCATTATGAGATGATGCTTGCAGATTAATTAAATTATTAATATATGTGTTTGTGAATACTGAGTGTTTGGAAACACTTAGGGCTTTACAAGTTGTACATGAGGAATATACCAAATACAGAAAAGATGGAGCCCAGTGATGAGAAGATGCTGAAAGAACATGACTGCCTGCCTTGACCAAAAGAGAAATTATGAATATATTAGAAAGTAGTAATGTATTTTGCTTGTTATTTGAAGCAAAAAAAGGGGAAATGTATCTTTCTTAAAACAAAATTAATGACTTAACACAAAATTAATGAGGCAGTTTTGAAACATATCCGAGTTTCCTTTGTTTTGCTTTTATCTTGGAACTGTAATATAGGCTTTCTGCAACACAGCAGCAAATTCTGCCTGTGAGCCAGTAAGCTCAGTTCTTCCCAAACTTGTTAGGTGGCAGAAGCTCACAAGCGATGCTGATCTGACATCCCAGCAACCTGCCTGCAGCACTCCTCCAGCAGCAGTGTGAGCTTCCTGGGGCTCTGCAGTCTAGACCTGGACTGACTACCTGCACCCCAAGGTGAGAGCAGCGGTCTCACGTGCTTACACATTCACTGGCACCTTTTGTTAGGGTGACAACGAAAGGACTGACTGTCCTGGTGAATGGTGCTGTTGTTTGAGTTGCTGAATTATGCTTTTGTTACGTAGTTCTGTAGAGACTTCAGATGGACGATTTCATAGACAGGCAGACCACAAACAGCTCCTTTGAGTGGGAGGAGGTGAAGCTGGTCCAAAAGGAACTGTCTCATCTAGTTCTCTTCTCCAGGGATGTTTCTGTCGGCTTGAATGCCGTAGGGATCTGGGTGTTTCCTCCTGTGACCAGATAGACTTGGGTGAAGTAGAGACATCAGTCAGACTCCAGAAAACACAAAGCAGTCAAATCTATAGACTTTGGAAAGCCATGGGCATTTGGAAAATGCTTTTTAACTCTCATACAGCTTTTTTTTTTTCCTTTTCTGATGGGCTTGGCTCTGGTTTATAGACTCTTTTCTTCTTGAAGTATCTTCATCAGTTGAGTACTTCCACCAGCTCCTTCTCTGTCACTTTCTCCATTATACTTCTTGGTGTTTTAACTTGCTCCTTTATAGATGAGTGTCCGCACTTCATTCTTTCAAAATGCAACTTTAACATAATGTTCTCTTTTATTACATTGATTAGTTTGAGCGTGGTTTATATGTAGTCTCGTTTTTCACACATCTTGAGTAAGATAATAGAAGAGAGAACAGGCATTTCTATACAGATCACGGATCATTGCTACTTTACAAATTCATTGCCAACAAAATATTTTTAGTGAGGCAACCTTTGGTTTATGTTAGAAATTTTGCTGTAACCCATAATTACTTATGAGGACACGGGCTAATATTCCCCATAGGTACGTTGCTCAGTAATTGGATTCAGACTATTTACAGGCCCTCAGCATGTTTTGTTACTATGTTTTGTAGTTCTTTTGCTATTGTAGATATGTTAGAAGGTTGTTTGGATGTTAATTTTTTCCAGGTATTAAATGAAAAAAGGGGAGGTTATGGGTCTCTGAGAAGCCTGTAAAAAGATTTTGTTCTACCTGTGACGTAAGCATGTTTGCATTCTTGGCAACTAAAAATCTAACAAATTGTCTGTTTGAGAAGTGAGCTTCTAAAATCATAGGCTGTTATAGTCCTAAGGGAATCTTAAAACACAGGCAGAGACTGGCTATGAAAAGGAAAGGAAAAATTTGTGTCACTGTTTTAACAATAGACTTCTTTCATGTGGAGGACCTAGATGTCTGTTAATTACTAACTGGCTTGAGGGTTTTGGATTCTGGCCCAATATGCTGAAATTCTTAACCATCCACTGGCTGGCATATTCTTCGAGGACTGTATTTGGAAACTGATAATGTAATGGATTTCATCTTTATAGACTGTTTATGTTGTAGAAACGTTTTCATTTTTAGCTATGTTTCTGTCTTACAGTCTCAGTATTCATTGCTGGCATACATTCCAGATAGTTGTGTGAGCACAGAAAACAAGAGCTGGTTTGGAGGTTAGATAATGTTGGCCCAAGTTGAGCAGCATGTGTTGTCTTTGCTGTGCCACAGCCCCACCACAATGATCAAAACGTAAAACTCTGCCCTCTAATTTTAGGTGACTTGGATGAATTAACAAGATCTGAAAGCCTGTGATTACTATTGCACTTGAAAGGGTCTAAGATCTCTGGAAACTAGGCAGTAGATATATATGATGAAAGGAATCCAAAATAAATTGAAGCCTAAAAACCTTTTTATCATCCTTTTTCCATGTGAACATGGCCGTATATTTGTCTGAAATAAATTTTCACTGGTATTTTCTGAAGTAAATCTAGTAGTTGTAAATTATTCCAACCCTTTTGATGAGTTCTGTTTGTGGGTTTCCATGCAGATTAAAATATGTGCACCAAGTATTTTCATTAAATGAAGATGTAGTAGACAAAAATCTCTAAGCAATCTGCAAGATTGAATGAATCTGTGGTGTTCCCACTCTTAAGAGATGTTCTGTGGAGACCTTCACAACTCCCTTTCGTTTTGCCTTTTAGTTTTTAAATCCAACTGCGGAGGAAGTTGTCCTTGTGTTGCCAGCTGATGGAAGGTTGATCAATTTAGTGCTGATCTTGGTAGCAGCTGTTCAAAGGCCAGGGAGGCAGTACCTGGCATAGAATTGGACTTGAGCTAATAAAAGCCATCAAAAAAGCAGCATATGGCAACAACCTGAAGTAATTATTATGTGTAGATGAAATAACCACATTCAAATAAAACTGAAACCTGTAAGGTTTCAAATATACTAAGAGAAATTTGACTAAAACCCTATAAAACTGGGTGAATACATGTTGCGGTGAAGAGGCTCAACAATAGGGCTCTTAATAAGTATATTCTGGACTAAATAGTCCTTAGTCGCAACTTCCTGTTGGAAAAATAATTTAGTTGAAGAAAACCCTAATTTTTTAGTTACTGTTTTCTCTGATCCAGTTCGGTGTGCTGCATTAGCACTTGGTTTGGCCTAACTTTGTAAAGGTGTGGAACTGACAGTAAGGTGTGAAGAACAGGAGGAGCAAGAATGGGAAGCAGTACTGTCTTATTAATATGTATTGCATTTGGTTTCGTTTGTAAGCATTATGATGGGTCAGGGAAGACACAGTCCCCTGAACATTTAAATTTGGCAAAGAAGGGAACAGTTTGGATATCCTATGCTTCTCAGCTCCTCCCTGTTCATTTGTGCCATTGCTCAGGGGAGTGTTTGGTTTAAAAAAAATTACTTATTTGGCTCAGATAATTTTATCTGAATAAGGTTTTCCATCTAATTTGCTGTGCAGCCACTTGGTGTTTCTGCTTCTCTCAGGGAATTGGGGGTGGCCTGGGTACAAAATGAGCATCTGGAGATAATGGATTGCTTTCTGATTTAATTGTTGGTGTCATTTATCCAAGTTTAAAGTGTTAGTGCAACTACTTCTTTAGTATGAACAAAGTGGTGGTATGGGCAGAACACTTAACTGTGTCTGGGTTATTGTGGATGGTCTTATCACACAGCAGAGCCTGAACCTTTCTGCATTCTCAGTGATGCTGGACCAAAATCCCCTCCTGCTTTTTTACAGAGTGGAGATTAATGGGTTTCTTTCATGAGCGTCTGCCTTTAACTTTGTTGTTACTTTTTCCCCTGTAAAATTCTTGAACCAAAGAACCTGTGGAACCAAAAAGCTGTGTTGAATACATCTGTGACAACCTTTCACTAAGTGAACTGTGGATTCAAACCTTTGCAACTCTTTTTTCTTAAGAACCACCCCCCCCTTTCCTTAAAAAATGTTACTTGAGTGACTCCAGTGTACAAATATGGCATTCCTCTCACAGAAATAGATACATATGCTATCTGTTACAAAGTAATACCAAACCAATTTAGATTACGTACAGACTAACATAAAGCTTTATTAAGATTAAATGCTGCTAGACACATAAATTTAATGTGCATTAAAAAAAAAAAAGTCCACCAAATACTGCTCTTTATCTTATTTAAGTGTATGGAATGGGTTTCTGTCAAGTTTGTGATGAACAAGTTACGTAAGATGTTCTTTGGTAGCATAAATTTCTTTCACTTGAAGTGAAGGATCATTTTTAAGAACGAATTAATTTTGTTAATGAATTCACAGCAAAGTGCTACAATCCTTGCATTAGCAGATCGAGATGGGTCGTTCCAACCTGGCTATAGGGGATCAGGAAGAAGGGACAGGACTTCCGGTTTTTTAACTGTTTTTGCTGCCACATATTATAGAAATATTTTAAAATTGCATCCCCCCTCCTCCATGAAAACGTTCATGGATGGATGGAGTTTTTGCTATTATTGTAATCCATATTGTCCATTTTAGAAATGACTGATACAGGTAGTTCCAAAAATTCACGCAATTTACATTTGGTAAGTCCCTCCACACTTCCTATCACTTCTCCAAAAGCTGCATTTTTAGGGGAACTAAGAGGAGTTTGTTTTTTTCTGACTGTAAATTTTCATGGTGCCCAGCAGGCTGATCTGCCTCCCTCTGCAGTCGTGTCATTCCGAGAACTAATGCAAGGAAGCTGATGGCAGTAAAGGCTGGAATTCCGGTTTTGACAGCAGTGTGTTCCTTGAGCAACTTTATCAACTGTGAAACAACATCTTTAAATTATTTTACAGCATGAGTTTAAAAGAACCTCACTTCTGATATCTCAGTAGTGTTTGTGCCTTGTGTTTCCTGTTGCAAGAGACAATAATTAAGAAGAAAGTACTGCTGCATAACTGGATTTTGGAATGTGGGGGCAGTTGTGTGACAGCTATCAGATTGGGTGATCTTTATTAAAGACACCATGTCAGTCTAGCACAAAGGCACTTGTACAAATTTATATATGCAAATTTATTGCAGCAAAAATACAATTTACTTGTATTTAAGTGTGGGAAGGAAGTTGTGTGGGGCTTTTTAAATAAAGGCATTGGAGATTGCTGAATAGGGAGAGTTTAAAATTATGTGGGAAGAGTTCACTTCCAGCATCTGTAGTGTCCTGAGCATTCAGCTCTTTGTTTTGCCTATTTTGGTATGTCAGCAGGGAGGCGCAGCTGTATCAGCTTTCCCTCTTCAAGTGTATCTTTCAATTGTGTACTCTCACTTTCTGCAGTTCACTGGCAGTCAGACAGCTCTCTTCCTCTTCTTCAAATAAGCAAAAGTTATTTTGGACTACCAATTCATGGTGGTCATTCACTACCTGTTGCTTTTGGCTGCAAGAGAAGCTGTCTGCAATATATGATTTATTTGTTGTTAGAAGTAAGACCCCAAATTGAACTTTATAGGGTAATTGCAGGACTGCAGGGTGGTTGTAGATCCCTGTTAAGGCAAATATTGTGTATATCATATAATTCCTGGGAAAAGTTCGTGGGTTTGTTTTGGGATTTTTTTATTTTTTTTTTCTGACAAATTGGTTTAAGCAAATGAACTAAGTAAGGCTGCACCTTCTAAATGCAAGCTTATTACTTAGAAATTGTGTTGACCTTTGGT